TGGACCGCTGCTTCTCGGAAGAGCGAGTGCGTGCTGCGGGTTCGCTTCTGCGGTGACTCGCATGTGCGGTTGTTTGGTGTGTGGTTGTTCCGCTCCGGCACAATGAGGTTAAGCAGTATGACCACATGGTATGTGACCTCATGCATTTCTCGCATGCCCGTTTCGAACAGTAGGCTGCGCAGCTTGTCGATGGCGTCTTCCAAGTGGTTCGGGGCTTGGTTGGACGAGGAGGGTCGCCCCGGCCGCTGCATGAGTGCAGGTTGGTCATGCTCCGATGGAGGGGGTTGGAGTCTGTTGCCCAGGGGTCTGCCATCCTGTATTTGTTGCAGTAGACTGGGTCTGCTTGGTGGCGTGGTGGTGCTTGGTGGTGGTCTGTCTTCTACCTGCTGGCTTCGCCTAAGGGTACGCCCATCAGAGAGTGGTCCATGTGGTGTGCTTGCACCGCCTGTTCCTATATGTGAGGAGGAGCTTGCCGTGCCTGAGGTGGTTTCCTGCTGTGATTGGTGGTTCTGCGTGGCGTGTGGCGCTGCATCGCCGGAGGAGCTTGCCGTGGCTGAGGCCTCCTGCTGTGGTTGGTGGTATTGTGGTTGGTGTGTCTGTGGTGACCCCTGCGCGGGTCTGCTGCTTGCGTGGCTGGCCGCCGAGGAGCTTGCCGTGGCCGCTGGGGTTTCCTGTTGTGGTTGGTGGTTCTGGCCGTGGCTGTGGCTGCCTTGTGGTGGTGTGGAGCTTGCCGTGGCTGCTGGGGTTTCCTGTTGTGGTTGGTGATTCTGGCTGTGGCTGTGGCTGCTTTGCGGTGGTGTGGGTTCGGCGTGTGCTGTGGCTGTGGTCGTGGCGCTGGCGGGGCTTTGGTGGGCCAGTGTTGCTGTCGCCCCGCCTTGGACGTGGCAGCTGCTGTCGTCAGTGTGTGTGGGGTTCGTCGCCCCGTCTTGTGCTTGGCAGGCTTCGGGATCTGCCGTGTGCTCTGAGTGTGCCTCGTCGGATGCTGCAGTGGGTTGGGTCGTGTCCGTCCCAGAGTCGCTGCACCCCGCTGCCTCGTTGAGGTGGACATCCAGGGTCCATTCCCCATCCTGCCACATGAATGTGAGGATGTCTCCTTCACATAGGATGGCTGCGTTGAACTCGTAGCTGCCTGGGGGAGGTGCTGCCACCACTTCTGCAATGTAGGTTTGTAGGTTGGGTCTGGTGAGGGACAGAACCGTCCCTGTGGAGATGGGGGGTGCGAGCTCGGAGCGTATGCCGGGTGGTATGGTGCGGAGGGGGTTGGGGTCTGCTCGGAGTGCTGCCAGTTCGTGCTCCTCCTTTCGCAGTGGGTGGCTTTCAATGCACGAGCCACCACGGTGGGGAAATGGGGGTGCCTGCTTCTTGTGCCAGGATGCGCCCCCGTGCCCACTTGTTAGTGGGGATGGTGGGTCTGTTGATGGATGGTTGGCTGCGGCTTGTGGCTGTGTGCTGCAAGCGCTCCTGAGCTGCGGCCATGGCTGAAGGAGACAGTGGGGGGTTGCGTGTCAGCCCGTGCGGCGCTGGATCTGTGGAGCTGCTGGCTGGTTCGTGTGGTGGTGCCGGGTCGGCGGAGCTAGCTGCGGGCTGGTCCCAGGGTGCGGGGTCGACGTCGGCATCCATGGTTGGGGGGAGGGGTGGCGGTGGCTTGGGTTGAGCTGGGGGCTGTTTGACCGGTGGCGGTTTTGCCACAGGCGCTGCTTGAGGGTGTCTCTCTCTCTTTCTCTCTCCCAGGCCCCTAAACCCTCTCTAACCCTAAAACCTCAACCGAGATTCTCCAAAGACTTCCCTTGGCGAAGACTCAATGTGCAGCCGGGTAGCCATGACGCGAGCACCTTGCTCTTGCGCTCTTGCTCCCAGCACCGCAGCTCCTAGGGCATATAGGAGTCTAGTTCATTGTTGGGATAGGATCAAAAAAAGGTACATTTTTGATCAAAAATGTACATTTTTGTTCTTTATTATTATTTATTGGGGTTAAGTACCCATAAATCCCATAAACATGTAAAATGTTACCCAACGATGACAAAGGATTTAGGGTAGGGTTCGGGGTTTAGGTTTGAAGGTCTGTGGAGTAAGGAATAGTTTCGACGCTCACACTCGCACAAGGCAGGCACGGCTCCACATAGGCATAGTTTAGGGGAAAAAGTAATTTCGGGCAAGGAAATCCCTTTTGATGAATCATGTGGAGCACCCGTGGACCCTGAACGATCCGAAACCTCCAAACTTCCTACACCGAATCGGGCTCTCATAAGTCTACGCTTCCAGGTAAGCCGCTATGATAGTGTGAACATGCTTTGCTGGACGCAGGTACGCTACAGTGCTTTCAGAAGCACCCTCGAAGTCCTAGTAACCAGCTTCACAAAAACAACATGTCTCGCAAGAGCTCGGCTTGGCTCGGAATGTGGCGTGGAGGAGCCAAAGGGGACCCAAATCTAGAAGAAGTCTGCGCATTGAGCGTTTCCAGGGCTGCCATGGGTTTGAACAATTTTTATAATGGATTTTTTGCTATTTGGGACTGCTTCACGGCTTAGGGGCTGACGGCTCAAGTGGCTAAATATGAAAAAGGATGAGTGTTGCCGACGACGACGACGACCACTCCTACCTACTTCTACTCCTTCTCCTACTCCTCCTACTCCTCCTACTTCTACTATTGACCTGCTACTGCAACAGCTACTGCAACTGCAACTGGAACTGCTGCTACCACTACTACCAGTAGTACCACTGCTACTACTACTACTGCTACTACTACTGCTACTACTACTGCTACTACTACTGCTACTGCTACTACTGCTACTACTGCTACTACTGCTACTACTGCTACTACTGCTACTACTACTACGACTACTACGACTACTACGACTACTACGACTACTACGACTACTACGACTACTACGACTACTACTATTACTACTACTACTACTACTACTACTACTACTACTACTACTACTACTACTACTACTACTACTACTACTACTACGACTACGACTACGACTACGACTACGACTACGACTACTACTACGACGACGACTACTCCTACTACGACGACGACTACGACTGCGACGACGACTACTGCTGCTGCTCCCGGTCGTGGCACTGTAGCAAGAGGAAGATTGTTTCTGGTTTGGATTTGGGAGTTTCCGAAAATGGGGGACCCGAATATAGTGCTAAACAGTAAGATCCTTATTGTAAGGGCCCCAAAATAAGGTACCCCCCTGACTTTCGGAAATTCCCATTTACAAGTTTGGCTATAGCATGCCATGGCGGAGCTCCTCGTGCGTTTCTCCGACCTCCGCCTTCTTCGAGACACGGCAGCAAAGCTTTGCGAACATGCTGCTGTGCGTAGCGAAGAGCTGGCCTCGGACTCAGCGGTGCCCTTAGGATTTAGGGTTTACGGTTTAGGGCTTTCCCACAACATGTCTGGCATGCTTGCATAGTTTGTGCGTTCCTGCAAGAACCGGCAAGTATTTTGAAGGCTGTGAAGGAACAGTTTCGAGCCGTCATGTCCAATGTGTTAACTTCCTCAATGCTGGTTTGGTTGAGTATACTAGCTAGCTACAACATTTGACGCGCGACTCCGCAGATTCCGTTCTTTGCGTTGAGGGCTTCACCGCAACATCAGTGTTGACATCACGACCTGAGTGCCACACCCAACAGGTTCGGCATCTTGCTGTGCGACCGGCAAAGAGCCATCAGAAAGTTCTCCTGCGAACATGAGACATGTATGAACGAACCAGTAATGTAGGAGCCTTAATAATTAGAATAGGGTTTTGGGGTATAGTATGCTATAAATATAATAGGGAACCCCCCAAAATCGTATTATGGTAAGTAGTAAGGCCCCTAGAGTACAAGATGCCAGACCCCGGCTGCGGACCTCGACCACATTTCAGCTCGCTTTCTACAGAAAGGTCTGGCGCACTCGCATCTTCGACTGCTCCGGGCCGCTGCGGGTCGTTTCAGTGGTGCCCGGACAAGATTTCAAGTCAGTTCTTACATGGGTCCTACATAAGATTCATTCCTTGAAACACTGAACGGCAATGGAGTAACAAGTCTTGCGGCGCACCCTTACGGAAAACCCCACTGTGCAGCGCCCATGTGAACTCTCGGCTGCGGCACAACCCAAGCGAGGACACCCCGCCCTTCCGTTTCCAGCTCTCGTCCCGTCACCCCAACGCCCTTCCTGTAGGATCTTGTGCGTGAGCTTCTGCATCGGTGCGACCTGCAGCGTCTGAAACATTGAGCTTGAGGGCAGAAGTTTAGGACGTCGCAGTCTGAAGATTGGAGGAAAACCTTAGAAAGCACCAGGATCAAGGCATCGGATGTCGGATTTAGGGGCTTGCGTCGAAGAAGTGCAAAGTAATGCCTAACCGTTGCCTGAGACCAGCTTGCAGGACTGGCCGCGAGGACTCGTGGCATTCTTAGTGCATGTTCTGCTCCAGGTGATGTACTGAAAAGACGTGTATACCTGGCTACTGTACGTATGTATGATGGATGTGTGTATGTGTGTGATTATATACCTGGACACACACGTATGTATACATATATGTATCTATATACACACATGTACGGATGCACTTACATGCGAGGCTGCATGTCTGACTGGAGCGAGGCTCCCTCTTCCTGGCGCCCATCCCCACCGGTCGGCCCTTTTGCAAAAGAAGCGGCGGCATGCAATCAACAAATGGGAGTTTCCGAAAATAAGGGGACCCTGATATAGTACCCTGCATAGTAGGATCCTTATTATAAGGATCCCAAAATAAGGTACCCCTAATTTTCGGAAACTCCCAAATGAGGTCTTGTGCATGCAGAGCGCTGCTCGGGAGCTATGACATGACGTTCAGGGCTAGGGTTCGAGAGTGCTTGCGTCTTGCGGCTTGGGAGTTTGCGGCCTGCATTGATGTTTCCTGATGTCTTGCGGATGGCGCATGAACATATACAGTACAACTCCGGCGAAGTCCTGTACTCTCTACCTTACATTGGCGGAAAGCTACTCGGCCGCTCACGGCTCACAAGTCTAAGCTTCCACAAGACAAGCTCTCGTTTCTCTGAGCTTTTTTTGAAGATCGTGCCTCCAGGGACTGCCGCAGCAGCTCCTTGGCAGAGCCGACTGCAGAGGTAGAGAAGCCGAGCTCGAACTCAAGAAGATGCCTCAAGATGGCTTTACGACTCAGGGTTCTCTGGGGTTCGGGGGGCTTAAGGTTCGGGAGCGAAGGAATTGTTGTCATTGAGCTACAGATGCGGCAGCTCCCCCTCCTCGTCCTGCTACTACAACTGCTGCAGCAACTTCCGCTAAGACTACTACCACTGCTAGCTTACTGAGTCCACACGACCACCACTACTACTACTACTACTACAACAACAACTACTACTACTACTACTACTACTACTTCTACTACTTACTACTACTCCTCCTGCTGCTGCTGGTGCTGCTGCTACTGCTGCTGCTGCTGCTAGTGACGCTAGTGCTACCGCTACCACTGCTACCACTGCCACTACAACTACTCCTCCTCCTACTACTACTGCTACTACTGCTGCTAAACTCCTACTGCTACTGCTACTACAGCAGCTTATACTGCTGCGACGAGTACGACAACTGCAGCAACAGCAACAGCTATAGCAACAGCAGCAGCGCCAGCAGCACCACCACTACAAGCAGCTGCTGCCGCTACGACTTAGCAACATCAACCGAACAATCTGCAGTTAAGTGGCGGATGACGGGCTGATACGCGTGGAACCTGATCGTACAGCCTGCGATTTGCCTCGGGACACAATACCAGAAATTTGAGCCTGTGCAGCACAGCACAGCATCTGGGCCAATGTCCGTCCCTGCAGGTCTTGTCCAGCAAAGCCCAAACTCCACTACCCCGGAGCGCACCTCGTCTTCCAGTAGGGCCCGGAAGGTGTGGTGCATGCAGAAATATGGGACACTCGTCCGTGTCACCTTCTTTGTGCTTGGTTTCGGGAGGGTGGCGGTGTCAAAACGTACTCCCCGACTCCAAAGACTAGTCCCGAATGATGGGGACGGGTGTCTGGGTTCAAGTTCTGAGGGCTACCACGAAGAACAAAGCGCGGAAGGTCTACCTGTTAAGCAAACAGAAGGACGAATACGGCAACCCTAAGACCTTCCCGACTAAACCACTAGCACATCTTCAGCGAATCACTGTCGGAAGAACAAAACCCCAGCTTTTTGGCATTGCTGCTTCTCATCGGTATGACCATTCCTGCTCTTTCGCTGCTGGGTGCTACTCAACTTTACTACTTCTGACTCAACTTTAGTTCTTCTTAACACTGGGCTCAGGGTTTAGGATTATATTATATGATACTACCATTACTAAGCCAAAAAAGTCTAACCTTTTAAGTTCTTAGTTGCTGAGTTCATAAGCCCCCAAAAGGGTACACTTTTAGGTTTGCAGTGGGTAATATTGTCCCAAAGAGTGTAGAGTGCATCCAACTCAGCTACGAAGATTATGGTAGGATTATATAAGCCCCAAAAGGTTTAAGGTTGCCTGCTCCGCTACTCAGAGTTTGTGTTGACGGTAGCTTCCACTTCAGTGAGCATGGGAAAAGGCTTCGCCCCCAGAAGCAGCAAGAGACACTCAGCGGACCATCTCATGTTCTGACTGTAGCCAGATGGAACGCAGGCAGAGATGCAAACTCTGTGAGCTCCGTTCTGTGTTGCGTCTTGTCTTGCAGATTGTTGACTGCCCACCCACCTGCCTCCTCGCGCATAGCCGAGAACAGCTGCGCAACAAGCGGATGGTTGGCAGTGCTGGCAAAGAACCAGTTGCTGATCATGAGCTTGTACTTCCTGAGATGTCACAATTTGGGCTCGGGGGCTTCTTGGTCCGAGTTCGGCATCAGCAAATGCCAAATCTGAAGCCAAACCGTAATGCAAGTACTGCGTTTTTAGCTGCCCTGGGCGCGGACTATGCACCGTCTCTCCCGTTGGCGACGCCAGATGTTTCTGGTCTGGCTTGAAACCCGAGCCCATCACTCTCTGTCTGCCGCGACTTCCTATATCTTATATATCTGATGTGTCTTTCTATTCCAGCCCCCGCGACTCTTCAATTTAGACCTGCTTGCTGGCAGTGAAGCAATACATGGATGCTTGTCAAAATGAGGGTCCCTTTTGGGGTCCTTAATTTTATACGGCACCTAATATTTAGGGTACCCCAAAAAGGAACCATAATTTTGACAACTACCCACATAGCCGTCCCCGTCCCCTGCCGTCTCTCCGGCAGCCTTCTGGGAAGACTCGACATCGCACCCGGAATTCCAACGTCTATCACCCAAGCCTGTCTGTCGGAATCAAAGCTTGGGCTCAAGAAGGGATCATGTGCCCAGGTATTGGAGTCGGAGCGGTCGAACACGAAAAAGAAGTCCTGCGGAAAAAGGGCGGTCCATTGGACCAGGAAGACAGCATTGAGGACTCTAGGGTGTTGCATGACCGCGTCTAGCATATTGCGAGGTTCGCCTATCTCCTGGCCCTGCTTGGGTTTCTGAGGCACAAACTTCTTAGACCAGGGCAACAGGCATTAGCCTGCTGGGTGGATGATGCTCAACTTGTTACACGAAGTTGGCTCGGTGGCTTCGCTTCGCACGCCCACCTTTTTTCCGATGCTAGCCCCTCAAATCCGTCAGCTGGTGCTATAGGGGCTTTAATAATTAGACTAAGGTTCGGGGGTATATTATACTACAATTATAATAAGGAACCTTTAAAAGAGTCTATAGGTAATTATTTAGGCCTCTATAGTACTCTACCGTGAGCTCCATCCATGCGTCAATGTTGCAAAACAGTGGCCAACGAATCCTAAACCTCAAGTCCGTGTCCAGCTGTTTCACACTGACACGCTACGCGTTCGGTTTTTTCGGGAAGCTGCGCCTCCTAAACCCTACACCCAAAACCCTTTTGCATCCGGTCTGCAGCGACTCTACCCTTTTTGCATGGGGTCTGCAGCGACTCTACCCTAAAATCCTAAACCCTGCACCCCGAACCAGACCTCCTGCATCTGCAAGCCTAAGCCCGCTTACTCTGTACGGTGCGCCTCGTTAGTCCAAAACCCAAACCCCAAGACACACCCAAAAATAGGGGACCCTAATATAGTGCCCTGAGTAGTAGGATCCCGATTATAAGGAGCCCCAAAATAAGGTACCTCTAATTTTCGGGAACTCCCAAGTCGACATGCCTAAACCCAAACCCATCATGGAAGATCGGGTTCCGTCGCTAAGCCGCTAAGGCAAAGGCTTTACTCATGCACATGGTACATCTGGATATTCGGCTAACGGGTCCACGAACACTTCATCTGCCACCCCTAGAGCAGTCAGTCATTATTGGAACAGTGACAGTAGGTCGTACTATGTCGTTCCTGAAATTTTCACCCCAAGCTATGATGAACCCAGGCCTCTTAAGTCCTAACCCGAGGGGAGAATCCTAGACCCTTAGAGTTTTGAAGGGTTTGTTTCGACGCTCACACTCGCACAAGGCAGGCAAGGCTCCACATAGGCGACAGGATCTCAACTAGTGAATGCAGTGCTTCTCCAGGGTCGCACCCAACATTGAAGGGTTTGCTTAGGAAAGTTGGAACCCCTTTGAGCTCCTTCGCAGCATTATCGGAGCGAGACTTCAGTGCCTGCGAGATTTTCGAGGGAAGCTTCGCGTGGGATTACTGGTTCGAATGGGGTTTGGGGGGTACATTACCCAGAGGCTCCATAGTAGTTCCTTTTTGGAATTACCTTATAGGATTCTACATACGAACCCCAAAAAGGAACTACTCTGGAGCCTATGGGTATACTGCAGTCATATCGAGATTCTGAGAAGGAAGCTTAACCAACACGTACCAAAAAGTTTTCCAGTGGCTTGAAGCGACTAGTCTGGGCGTCATGATGCTTTGCGCGTCAACGGGTCTTCCGATTTCGGTTTGGGAGTTCAGGCTCTCGAGTTCACGATCCGCGGTCAATTCGGTTTCCCAGAGCACATAGCCTTACGCAATAAGGTAGCATCCACGGACGCTCCAATGCTTGAGATGTTCACGTTTTTGGTTTAGGGGGCTCACGAGTCTCCAAAGCGGCGGCACAACATCGAGCATGTATGGAAGCCTGCACATAGTAATGTCCCATGCGTCAAGTCTTCGGCAAATGGCACTCGAAACATCAAGCCTGACTGAAGGGCTGCGATCCGACGTGAAACATTGATCGGAACGACGAGCTGGGACGACATTCACTCGACCTCAAGGTGCAAGAAGCCTGTCCCCTAAACCCCAAAGCGTCTGAACCCCCAATCCCCTAGACCACAAACAAAAAACCTTAAAGTCCTAAGCCCCCAAGCCCCAAACGCCTCAACCCTAAACCCCTAAGGCCCCAAAGCCTTACGCCCCCCAAACCTGCCTACACCTACACCCGTAGCCCTAACATCCCCCCCCCTTCGGGGGTTGAGGTGCCTGAAGCCAAGGCATGGCTGGAGCAGTGCAGAAGAGCCTGAGGATGGCTGAAGGCTGATATTTGGGGTTTTGGGGTTGGGTTTCGGGGGTTTAGGGTTTAGTGGTTTGGGTTTAGGGGTTTAGGGTTTAGGATGGCAGAAGGCTCTGAGGAAGAAAACATATCATACCATACTGTAGTATACTATACTGTAAGAGTTTAATATAGAAAATATAGTGAATTCTGATATGCCAGAACATACGATACTATACAACATGTAACAATTCAATGTATGATACTGTTACTATAATGAGATAAACCACGATTGCATACTATACTACCATAGAACCATATACTGCAATGCACTAGGGCATGGGTTTAAGCTTTCCGGGAGTACGGGCTTCGACTCAGTACTGTACTGTCCATATGCTGCAACGTACCAGGGCAGTGCGTGATCAGGCTTCAGGAGCCAAGGTTGCCGGCATCGGCTCGCACTCTGTGGCATGCTGGAGACTCTTTCTGCATGCTTGAAAGCTTGTCCTGGTTTAGGGTTTAGGGCTTTGGGGGGCATGCTTAAAAGTTTTTCCAGTGCACAACAGCAACAGCAACAACAAATAAAACACAAGTCATACGAACAAATGGTAGCAGGAACTTAGCCGAAAGGATCCGTTTTGAATCGTGGAACGTACCAGCCAAGAGTCGTGGCATCAGCCCAAATGCCACCGAACTTCTGCAGAAGTGTCAGGCGCACCTCGGACAGATCTGCAACCCTCGGAGGGTTCAGCCTTCTTCTTAACATGCGAATTACCTGAACCCCCCAAAAGGAGGTAAAATTAACCTTTAAAACGGCTACTATTCTACAAACTGTTGGGGTCCAGGTAATGCCTAATGCCGAAAATGTGCAATTTGTGTCTGTATACCATATGATATGTACTAGTAACATCGACCCTAAACCCTGATCCTTAAACCGTTGTAACATAGAAGCCCCACCATGAGCCTAAATCTGCCCGGTGGCGAGGTCTGAACGCTGCGCCGGGGGCAGCTCCCACAACCGGGGCCACAGGGAAAGCTCCGGCAGCAAGTCCTCAGAGACCGATAAAAATATGTAGGTATAAATCAAAATAACAAAGATGTATGTATGTATGTATGTATGTATGCACACACACACACACATGTGCGTGTGTGTGTGTGTGTGTGTGTGTGTCTGTGTGTGTACATATGTATAATGTATATGTATGCATGTGCATGTATATGTGCATGTGTGTGTGTACAACTACATTACATACTATAAGGGGGTATGGCTTCAGGCCTTGATCTTGAGGAGCCCTTGAGTCATTTTCGCAGCTGAAGTTGTAGACATAGCTTCACCCTGATTATCGTAAGCTTCGAAAGGATGGAGGCTGACCTGGACAAGGTGACATTCTTTGTAGCAGGCCCAAATAATGGAGGTTTGGGGTTAAAGGTGAAGGAAACTGCAGCCAGAGGTTCAGGAAGGTCAGCAGCAGAGATCTTGCCTCAGTGCCGCAGCTCAATTTGAACAAACTACCCTCTGCTGCGAACGAACGAAATGTCCAACCAGGACCCAGCGCCACTGCAGCGTACAGCTTCACCTATCTCAGTTCATCGTTCGTCGTGGGACATTTTCAGGCCCTTATATATATATATAAACATAAATATAAATATAAATACAAATATAAATAAATAAACAAATAAATCGATATATATATATATATATATATATAAACCGAAAAGCTACCTGAACCCCTTGTACTTGTGATTTCCTTAGCAAGCAGCGGATAGAGAGATCCGGATTGGCGCATTCCCAGCTTTCGGCGCAAGCCTGAAGCTGAACAGTGAGGGTTCCTATGAGGGTTCCTTCAGGGTTGCCACAAGTATCTATCTATCTATCCATCTATCTATCTCTATACACATTTACATACATACATACATATATATATATATATATATATATACACATACATACATACATACATGTATATATATATATATATATATATATATATATATATATATATATATATATATATATATATATCTATATATATATACATACATATGCAAAAAACATAGATAGATGTCTACATATATAGTGTGCTATATTCAGGTTCGTAAAGGTATGACTAAGGCCTTTTCTTCAACTTTTTGCATATTGGCAAGGAGTGCGGTCAAAGGTCTTGAGGCACAACAACTCTTCGAGGTTCATATTACACCGGTTTATGGGCTAGTATAAACGTCACACAGGTTTACGGCCTTACATTCGTGTTCGGATGAGTGCTTTTCCGGCTATGAGAGTCTTTGTTGGGTGATATTCCACTGAATCTATAGACCGTGAAGGCCTGACCTGACGCACATCTAGGAATTAAGTCTACGCGTCAGCCCATGTAGCCCAAATGATCAATCCAAAACGGATCGCAGTACTGACACAATTTCCAGAGGCCCCGCCTGACAAAGCGCTGGTGCATTTTGCCAACCTCGGTACAACCGGGCGGGAGGAAAAAAGACCAATGTAAGATCCTGGTACTGACACCCTTACATGCAAACCCTGTCTTGAAAACCTACAGCTGAAGGCCCTTCAGCTAGGGTGGAGCCTACCTACAATAAGCTCGGGAAGCAAAAAGGAAACCAGAACGCCGCGACTTCGACGAAAATACGTAGGCATTTGCAAGTAAGCGTGCATGCATGCATGTATGAACATGGGTTGTACACACATGCATATATACAAACACATGCAGAAACACACCTGTGTTTAGACGGATGGGTACCTGGGCCAGGAAACCAGAAGTGTTACCCATGAAACTCAGCAAGCGAAGCAGCATTCAGCATGGTCCTTCTCCGTCTGAAGGCTTCTTTGACGAGGACACCACGAGTTGTAGTTTAAACACCGAATTATCGGCACCACCCGCCACAGTTGTCCTGGGTTCACGGCTTCACACCTGAATCACAGCAACACTTATTGCCAACATGAGAGCTCTGTTGTCTCATAATCTTGACCTTCATGCTTGCCGGGCCATGATCTATGAGACTTCAGAAGTGGAGGCTTTAGGCTTCTCATCTTCTTCACCAGACGAAGATGGCATGAGTCGAGAGCATTGCCCTAGCCTTAAACCCTGCATGCGGAGACGGAGACTCGAATTTCTCAAAGGCCGTGTCATCCCCTTTCCCCGCGTCACCCCAATTGCACTCAAGGATATGTACCGAGAGGTTCCATAGTAGTTCCTTTACCTTACAGGGTTCTAGGTATGAACCCCCCAAAAGGAACTACTATGGAGCCTATGCGTATAGGTATAAGCATAGTAGAAGGGCCTTAATAATTAGAAGGTTTTGGGGCCCCTTATACTATAAATATAATAAGGGACCCCCAAAATAGTATAGGTAATTATTTAGGCCCCCAAAGTATACCCTAAACCCTATAGATCCCTGAAAGGAACCCTTAAGGATCCCTTCAAAGGCCAAAAATTGTGTAGGCCCCTTTACCATAGAACCCTGTTTTGGCTTCCCAGCGGCCCTGCTCCCAAAAAGTCCACACGATCGGGGGAACCACCGGTGACGCGGGCTCTCGAGCCTCTTCGAAGGCTTCGGATTTCTGGCGTAAGGTGTGCTATAGGGGCCCCAATAATTTTCTTTTGCTGTTTGGGGGGGTTCCTTATTGTGATTCCCCATACTGTGTACATTTAGGGGGATCGAAGCTCTGCACGTTTCGGTGGCTTGGCAAAAGATTGGGATGTGGAACTTCGGGTACGGCGGGGCTACGGATTTCAGGCAGCAAGAGCATGAGTACTCGGAGTCCACCTTGCAATGTATGGCTGTGCAGAATGCCCACATGTCGCGCATCTCCAAGTCCCTCCTCCTCCTCCTCCTCCTCCTCCTCCTCCTCCTCCTCCTCCTCCTCCTCCTCCTCCTCCTCCTCCTGCTATGTTGCTATTCGTGGGGTTCTGGGACCAAGCCTCTTCCTCCACTGCCTGCTCCACGTCCGGCTGCTCCTCTGATGTTCTGCTCGTGCAGGAGACGCGGTCAACGAGGTAAGCAAAGACAAGGAGGATCAAGCACCTCGGAAATGTGGGTCATAGACATAGACGTGCTGAGTCAAAACTGCTACCAGTGCAACCCAAATTTACCCTACAAGGCTATTACTCGGCTCGAAATTGGATGTTGTGCACCACGAGGTTCGCCTTGAACATTTATATGGATCCACATTTCAGCCACGACTTGTCCAGCAGTAGAGCCCAGTAGAGCCCAAGTCTTGACAGTGTGCTAAATCCCACTCACAATTTCGAACGCAATTTGAAGTGCTGTGCCAATGCTTCTTTGCTCGGAACCGACGGCTGCGAGTCCTTAACCTCAGCTCTACATCCCCTCCCAACCCCGGCCATGGCCATACAACCAAGCACCCCCCAAACACAAAGAGCGACAAATCTCAAATATCGAAGCCCTTAACTTGACACGAAAGCCCAACAGCCTCACGAACCGGAAAAGGTCAAGGCGCATGCACGTCAGCGTCGGGAAGAACGCCGTGGAGCTGAAGAAGGCCAGAATACGGCCTCCATTATGGGATGCACGAGCATGAATTGCATAATCCGAGACCAGTAACAGGCTGGGCTTTCTTCGCAGCTCTAGAGTGCTAGTTGCGTTGTAGTTTGACGTTCCTTACATGAAATAGGGGGCATTTTCGAGGTACAGTTCGCGATAGCCCCGCTCTCCCTCTCGAAATAACGCCTCCCACGAATCGAATCTAGCGGAAGGGCCTGAACATGACTCCAGAGTTCCAACCTGCCAATTGAAGTTCCAAAAATTCCTGGAATATCTAGGTGCAGATCAAAAGCTGTCATCGCAAGCTGCTCCCCTTACCCGCTTATAGTATAATATATCACAGAAGCACCTTCTGACTATCGAGGTCCCTTTCCTAGAGGCATGTTGATATTACAATCCTTTGAAGGCCTCGTTAGCCTAGTTCAGTACAGTACCCCTTTAAAACCTTGCAACTACAGCACCCTGTCTTTGAGGTAAGTGGCTCATGACAAACGGAACGCCCCCAGCACCGAGGGAGGAGGCGATCGCGAACATGGCCTCTTCGGCAATTCACTGTTGAGAATAATGAAGGAGGGGGGCTTAATTCTGAAAGCATGGTTTTGTGCTAGCGTGTTAGTGGGCACCTTCGATACTCGAACAGTGAAGGTCGACGAGAGCAAGGGAACTCAAAACAAAAAGCCGAAGCGCAGTATGGGCTCCGACCACCCTCAGCCTGCAGCTTAGGTTTAATGCAGGCGTGGGCAAAACTCAAGTTAGGACATGGGCTTGGGTTTCCCAACAAAACCTTGAACGCCCTAAATTCGTAGAATCGAAAAACCTTCGTGCACGGGCACTGGGAAATAAGCCACACACAAACCCCGAAATGATGACGCCCCAGCTGCCCCAACCCTGTTGGTCTTTGCCAAGCATCTGAATCCACAGACGTGAGTTCCCGACGCTCCTGGAGCTCTTCGAAGCAACAGGGCTCCAGCTTCGGCAACTGACGAAGTAGCTTTTGTCTACGTAGTAAAATTCACTTAGCGTTTAGGAGTTTAGCGATTTGAACCTACACCGTGCGAAGCCCATGTCTCCTTGGCCATGCTGATGCACATCGCGTATGTTGGCCCGGCACCCACGGCGACCCCAGAGACCGCGACGAAGATCGCGGGCAAATAGTGCGGCCAGACCTTTGGAATAAGGCATGGCTTCGGCGTTCAAGGCGATTTAGGAGAAGTTCGAGCAATAAATCAAGCAGAAGACCCGTGATTGTTCTGCTTTCCTGCATATAGCACGCTCAACCAGTATTGCAAAATTGCCGCTGGTTTTCTCTGAATGGAGAGATGCAATGAACCGACATCGCGACATTGAATGCAGGCCACTGCAGGATTAACCTGTGAAGTGTGGATCTGTTCGACAAAATGCACACAAACCACTAGGCAATCTGTGATGTACCTGGTATTTGCACTTCCATAGCACATGCAATAAGTTCCTGCGACCCTTATCCGAACATGGCCTAGCTCTGGCAAACTTCACAAGCTTAGCGGCGGCCGCGGGAAGACACGAAAGAAAAGCGACGGCTGCGCCTGGCCGCTCCACAATGCCGCTGATTACTGTAGCCGCTGCTCTCCAGTTACTACGGCGTTGAGATTGTTCATAGCAACTCAGACTATATGAACTGTTGCAGGGTGTTGCCAGTGTACACTCAGCTACGATTGCTTTTACGACCAGCATTCGCCCATCGAGAGACCAACTGGTTTCATTCGCAGGAATACTACGGCGTTGCGGCCCACACTGATGCTGGGCTTGCTACATCGTGTATTCAAACCGGGACTTGGGCAAAACATGCAGTGCCAGATCACTGAAACCAAAAACTTCGTGCTGCTTCAAGGTTCAAGTGAGCCAAGCGACGGTAGAACTTCACTTCGCTTTTGGCATGCGGAAACAACCAGAAGATTTGGTTGTTCTTGTCTGAAGTCAACAAACGGAGCAGACCACATGCCCATTGCGGGCCTTCATACCTAGAACCGGGTTGGGGGGGGCGGGGGGTATGGTGGATAGTATACCATAGTTATAAAACAGGGAAGGTTTTATCTAACATATGGTGGCTTTCCTGCGTTCAGCGACCTCCAATGACCATGGCCGCCGGCCGAGGGCGCAGGCATTTGCAAATGCAGGGTGCCAGAACCAAGCGGCTGACCTTGGGTTGGTGCAAGGTTTTCAACCTTGTCCTAATGTTTTCAGAAGGGGACACAGGGAAGGGGACGCCGTCCCAATGATTTTTGCTACTAAGAAATGACAGGTAGCACCATTCCTGAGCATTCCTTATTGAACTAGTTATGGTATTAATCCCCCTCCCGCCTCCCCCCAAAAAAAATCAAGGTTAAGGGCCCAGGGCCTCGAGTTAAGGCCCAGGGCAGAGTGAGATCCTAAAGCCCGGACTCGGAAGGGAAAGCAGTAAAAAAGGCAGGAAAAAACTGTTTCGGGCTTACGGTTTAGGGTAGGGAAAGGAGTGTGTAGCAATCCAGAAGTAGATGCTGAGCTTCGAAGGCTGTCAACCTCGAGCTCGACGAATGGTTTAAATGGTTTATGACTATTTGAAGCCTGAACCGGACATCGCCGTCTTAGGGTAATGTCACGGGGTTGTCGTCGAGGTCGTCTTGGAGAGCATCTAAACATATCCTCAAAAGGGAAACTTGGGTTGAAAGAGCTCTCCTCCGACTCAGATTTTTCCTCATGTTGATTCAGCATCTCACCTATAGCTCAGAACCTTCAACCAAACATGGACGCCTGCCGAGACACGGCGAAGAGAATCCAGAAGGTCACGTTGCAGGCCGCTGCAGTCCCCGAGGAGAATCCAATCCTGGAAGTCATGCGGCCATGAGAGGCGTTTCTCCAACCAGGAGAAGAAGCTTGTTTGTAAAAGCTCCTTTTTGCATCTGCCCATTCCTCTGAGCAGGAGAAGAAGCTTAATTCGGTTTTAGGGTTTGGGGGTTCCTTTGTTCTTGGGAGGTGGTCTTTACAATAACGGTTCTACTGTTTATGGTTCATGGGGTTCACATTCAATCCCATGCAGGTCAGCCCTAACACAACCCTGTTGGAACCTGGACTTAGGATGCGGAGGTTCGCTCAGTGAACAGCTGTTTGCCGCCTGATCGCGGAAGCAGGCACTCTATCCGTGCGAATATACATTATCCCTGCATATTTATACATACATATACATATATATATATATATATATATATATATGCATATGTATATGTATGCATATTGTACTCTTTCGTTTGTCTGGGTGTCTATTTCAATGTAATTATACATCTATACCGTACAATAGTACCCCCTTGGAGTCACCCCTATAGAGACCTTGATAAACTCTGCATCCCTTACACCCGAAACCCTTTAGGGGGGAGCGGAGGTTCAGCTGAGAGTCTGGGTCATGGATGTGATCAGCCAGGTTCCGCATGCTACCTGCGAGACAGGAGCTTGTCGCGTGAGCTCGAGCAACTCTTAAAAAGGGCCTGAACAACTAGAATAAGGGTTTGGGGTGCAATATAGCATATTGACTGAAAGACTGGTTGACTAGTTAGTTACTCAGACCTCTACACTTAGCAGACTTAGCAGAAAGCACGATCGAGAGAACAACTTTGCAAAGCTAACGCGGAAGTCGCTCAGGTAGATAGTCGTCACCTGAAACCGATGCAAGCAGAGGCCGCAGTCGCAACAGTCACAGTACTCCGAGTGTCGTAGCAATCAAGAAAGGCATGGAGCTACCTGTGCTGCAACAGTGTGTGTCACTGGTTGTCCAGCCTCCAGGCCAACAGCCAAGATGCCGAGGCCGCTGCAAGTGAGCGTGAAGCAGCCTCTCTTCAAGGGCCGGTTGCATGTGACTTGGGAGTAACCCCTTACATGTGGGATCCCATGAGTCCAGGCCTTGCAACGGTTGTAACACTCACGCCTTGCAACAGTCCACGATACCTTGACGACAGAGTTCAGAGGTCTGGCGCCTCGCGCAGTATTTGATAATCCCAGCTGCTACGAACCTTCTCGAGAATCGCGGTCCGGAAAGAAGCCCTCGCTCAGAAATCCACATCGCTTGAAAGCCCAAACCGTGACAAGCAGCTGGGCATTTGTGAGCACCGCGGCACATTGCTGGTTGGTGCTGGCTTGTCATCCAGCCTACGGACTGCAATCAACTGCACCCAATCCAAACATGTGCTCCATCCATGCAGATTTCTTGAACAGTTGACGGTTTAAAGCGATGGTTTACGGTTGAAACGAACTTGATTTCACTGTGGTTTTTGGAGGCTTGGAACAACTCCCACAGCTCACTAGTTCGACTTAAACGGACAAGCAACAGACTGCAAATTAGGACAGGAGAGTCGTGCATAAAGGCTTGAGAAAGCTGTAAGCCCATGCCCAATCCCTGCGAATGCAGCATAATGCAGCTGCGTAAACGCCGCAGTCGACCAACCGTATGCATGCGAGCTGATCTCCTTCATCCTGCTGTACACCTGCGGGCCTTTGCCATATCGGGTGCTGGGTGCGCGTGCTATACATTCCCTGATCCGAACTCTGAAACCCCTCTTGCAGCCGGGAGGCGCAGGCAGCTTCAGGAAAAGAAGGGACGACAGGGCGGTGAAGCCTATGCAGCTCAGATGTCAGCCACCTCTCAATTTTATCGGACCTTGAGGATGCTCAAAAAACTGCGACCAACGGCTAGAAGCAGAGACCTTGTCGTACTATAGTACTCAAGACCATAGAGCCATAGAGGGTCAGTTAGGTTGCCATGATATTTGCCTTCGAGTCAGTATAGCATGGCCTCCAGCAAGGTAGAACATGACCTCGGTGCCGAAGGTGGCCGATGAAAGCCTCAAGAGCACGGCCGTCATGGTTAGTATATCTCAACACGGCATCTCCAGCAATGTCTTAGTTCCCTCATCTTCGGCGGACCTCACTGTCACGGTTAGTCAATGTGGGTATTCCTACTCGTGCCGGCACCAGCTTCAGCGTGATCAGCACAGCTGCCTTCTCCTTCTTCCTCTTCCTTACCATGCTGGTACTAGCCAGCTGACAGCGACGCTACAGCTTGTTATTATGCAAATGATGGTTCTGGTGATGCTATGTTGGTGAAGATGCCCAACAACGACGATTACTGCTACATCTGCCCTTCGCACTGTCTGCATTGTGAACCATGGTCTCGCTTGTCGTGTCCACCCCCATGACGTGAAATGCCAACACACAGGCACCAATCCCGAAAGCCTCAATTAAAATACTTGAGCCCAGACAATAACCGAGAAGCCGCAGTCCAAACGCAGATTCCCCCCCCTCTTTCCTGGACTCAACTCTGGCCAGTCTACGTAGCTTCCCCCCTCGAAAACTCGAAGCCTTGAAACCGAAAAAAAACGAAGCTCTAAAGTCCGGAGACCCATGCCCCAAAGCCTGAACTCTGAAACCCAAAAAACCTAACATCTGAAGCTTACGTACTCTCATTATTGCAGAGCTCGGAAACTGCTCAAGAAGCACCATGATCACGCAGCCGAAGGCAAATCCACCTCCAGGTGCATTTTCGGGTTTCGAGCGTGTCAGGTCAACATTTAGGGTCTTACGCTCTCGAGGCTCTCCCAGCGTTGTGGAGCTGAGCATCAGATCTTTGCCGTGACTCCAGCGTGCAGGAGTTACTGTGGTGACTTACAGAAGCCATGGTTTTGAAACGATGAAAGTCCTGTCCGTCTCGCTCTCTTCTGTTGAGTATGGGCGAAGTCGTTGGTCTTCCCTGGTAGTCTCCTTGTCTCATATAGGAGGATCTACCAACATTATCCAGATTAAGACAACCAGGTAGCATGCTGGAGTGTAGCAAGCGAGGGTGCTTTTGCTTGTCGTGGGATGTCTCTTAGCATGGCAGATATGCGGGTCTTCCAGATCTAGATTACGGCCCGTTTCAGCGGCTCTTGCGCAATCCAAGCCCTCCTAGAGCCCCCTGCAAAAAGCTAAACCCCGAACCCTCAACTGTAAGCCTCCCCCCCCTCTCTCCTCCCGAGACCCTTCTAGAAGCCTTGTCAAAGCCTCTTAGAGCCCCTTAAGAGTTTAAACCTGATAAACCCAAAGTCCTCAGCCATAAGGCCCCCCCCCCCCCGAGACCGACTTGACATCGGAGGGTTTTTACCAAATCCCTAAACCCCTTTTTTATTGTATCGGGCCTTTACCACCGCCCGGTAATCCCCACACTCGCTTGACGAAGTGTGGAGACAAGAAGCATCAAGCATCGCGCGTCGACAGTGCTCAACCCCTAAACCTTAAACCCCAAACCCCCAGAACCCCAATCCTCCCGAGACCGACTTGAGATGCGAGGGCCTTGGTTGAAGCTCTGGGCAGCGCTGGAAAGGCTCGCATCCTCGTAGAGCTCCGAGACCAGCAGGTTTGTCATCTGCCCGATCCACCTTGCAGGTTTTTTCTGTAAGGGCTCCATAAGCGTTAGAGAATCCAAAGTGATTTTATGTAAGGGATCCACAATTTAAGGATTATATGAAGATCTAGTTTCGGAGTATGCAGTAGGGTTCAATTAGGGTTTAGGCCTTTGAGTTTGGTCCCCCGCCTCAAGATGGTTGGTTATCGCTACTACTGTTTTCTTGACTGGAAAATTGACTAAGTCCGAGTTGGTTGAGCCTGCGGATCCCACCGCCCTTTCATGCGTCCCGATTCATTCTATCCGATCGCGCTGTGAGCAGTACTGCAGGTTCGTACTACCTGTAAGTTAAGGGTTTGGGGGCCTAGGGAGCACTTGAGCATCCTGCCAAACACGGTATGTCACTACCAGAGCCTGAGCAAATTCAAGACCCTCACAAGCCAAAGCAAACCGGCCGTGGAACTCCTTACCAACAGTTCGGAGCACAAAGCCTGCTAAACCTCAAAAGTCCCAAGTGCCTCAAATGCCAAATGCAGAACATGACACAAGGCCTGGACAACAACGGCAGCAACGTGGGGGATGAACCTTCAAAAACCAAAGGCCTTGAGCAACGGTACCCCTAAGCCGTGTGCATCCCAACCAAAACCCCCAAACCGTGTAACCTTAAGAGCTCACAATCCTAAGGGCCCCTAACCTAGCAAAAACCCAAATACCCTGACAAGGCCCCCAAACTGAACTAAACCCCAACCCCCACAAACCCTAAAACCCCAATGAACCCTTTCAAGTCCGGTGTATTCCTTCCTTGACTCCAAGGGTAAAAGGAGGGACCCTTAATAAGGACCCCTAGGTATATACCCTGAATATAGCCATTATATTCCCATTATATAGCCCCATTATAGGGTAGGGGTCCCCATTAAGGGTCCCTTCTTTTCCCCTAAACCCCCTAAACCCCCAAACCTCTACACCCTAAACCCTATACCCTTATAGCATCCCTATAGATCCCTTTAAAGGGACCCTTAAAGGGTCCCTCCTTTTCCCCTTTGATGGACGAGTTTCGGTCGAGGGAGGACCTGAAAGCCGTAGGTGAAGACAAGCCTTGGGCGCGCCGGGGAAGGGCTTCCAAGGAGTGTGGGCTACGGGGTTTAGGGGAGGGCTGTAGGTAGGGCGTGGGGTTTAGGAGTTTGAAACCCTGAACCCTAAAACCCCGGCTGGGGTTTTGAGGTTTTCGGCTGACGGTTTCGAGCTGCGGGGCAGGAGAGATAGAACACGTGCACGTCTTGTTCCGAGCCCGGCTTTCCCCATGATGACGAAGAACATGCTGGAGCGTCGATGGTAGCATTTATTAATGGCAGGGTTGGTGCTGGTTGTGTGCTTATCAGCTTTTAGACTGAGAAGAGGAACATGTTGCATGATTCGTACCTGCATCTGTCATGGCCATGATGATAAGAAGGAGTCTGCATTGATCCAATTCTTTTCCAGTAGCGCAAGAAGGGTCTGGCTCGCGACCGGCAGCAGCGCGAAGAATCCACCAAGCCAAAGCCTGGATTCGGATTTTATGGTTTTAAGTGGGAAGCTGCAGGCAATCCGGGATTGCAGTCTGCGAGTTTGCAGGACTGGTTCCCGTGAGGAGGCGCAGCTTTTTAAATGTGGGATGACAGTGAGAGCAAGGCGAGAAATTGGATGTCGTCGGCACCGGCAGCAAACCTTGCAGTCGTCGTAGAGACATGTAGAGACGCCTTCTAGACTTCGAGGTGATGGTGGCATTGCCTGTGACCGCGGTGGTAGTTAAAACGGACCGTGGAGTCTGTGGGCATAGGGCTGCCGGGCTTACAGCCTGCGAAAGTCACGCAGTCGGTTGACTTCTTTGATGTCTTCTGGGATTGAGGCCCACCGCACTTAATACCCGTAGTGGACATATGCAAGAGGATCGTCGTCATCGGAGGAGGAAACACTGTGGCAAAGACAATCGTAAAAGTGATAATTGCAGCAAGTGCAAGAGCAACATGCAGGACCATCTGCTCTGGAAGCCCTGGACATAACTCAGAGGAGTCGCCGCAAACTAGCACAACACCCAAACCAGCCTCTGCGTCTCTATTGTAGGACAGTGTAAAGGGCGTCCATTGAACGACTACTCCGTCACCTTCCCAACACCAAAGCGCAATTCAGGATCCTGCCGCCGGAGAACATCCCGATTGCCTCATAATGCATACCCTTCCAACTTCAAACACCCTGCAGTCCGGGAACATCATCACAAAGAGCATGCGATGGTGGAATCTCCGTGGCACATAGGCCATGAGGCTTGAGGCCAAGCCCGAAGCGATGCACATCACCGCCTTCATTGGCGGGCTCACGGGGAACCCCTAACCCCATGGCCTGTAACCTAAGACAATAACTCTGCGCGGTCTCATCCGTTGAGGACTCCACACCCAAATGCCCAAAGGATTTTCGGTACTATCCATCTTTCATGCGGGCCTTTTATGATTTGCGCGAACCGGCTGAGAATGCAAGAACTTCAGGGCATTGGCTGAGCTCTGAGTGCTGAGTGGAGACGTCGCAGCGACCCGAAGCCATTCTTCAAGTGTGATTTTCTACAAGACTTAGAGAAAATCAGGGGGCCCAATCGGTTCGTTAAAGGTTAGGAATTCCTGGACCTGTGAGGGAACAGGCCGAGAGATCAGACCGTTTTGTTCAGAGGTTGTGTTGTGCAGACAAAACCCATAGAATGTTAACTGCAAGATCGGGGAGAGCGAGGGCTCGCGCTACCTGGACCCCCAAAAGTATGTAGAATAACAGCCCTTTCTAAGCTTTGGGCCTTCATTTTGCCTACTTTTGGGGGTTTCGGTATGCTCTAGCATCAGCCGTTTCTCTAGAGCACGCGCAGCCACACCTGAAATTGGTCGATGGCAAGATCCATGCCTGTGCTCCCGATGGAGTGAAGTCCCATTAGCCGGGTAGAACTGTAGAACATTAGTCAAGACAAAGTTTAAAAGGTTCAACATCTTCTAGAAGAGCTCCAACCAAGTGAAAAGAAACGGCTCAAAAACCTTCAAAGCGCTCACGAGAAGAAGTCAAAGCGACCTCAACATCTCAAGCCATCCCACCCGCAGTGAGTTCGGTAATGGTACTCGTATTATATATGGACCCTAAAACCCTACAGGACCCTTTTTGGAACCCTTAAAGGAACCCGGTGTTCTGGGCCTGAGCAGCCGGGAGCCATCCGAGCACCTGGTCGCAGGAGCCAAGGGGGTCCAATAACGAAGAAGACCAGCGATCGAATGACCCAAAGACTCCAAAGGGATCCAACTACCCAGAGGCTCCATAGGAGTTCCTTTCTGGGGTTCATATATAGAATCCTATAAGGTAGTCCCCAAAAAGGGACTACTATGGAGCCTCTGGGTATAACTTAGGGTATAAATTCCCTATAATTAAGGGATATTGGAGTCTCTGGGAACACAATTTATATAAATTACGCCAAACTCAGAACTCATCTTAATCAGCGTGAAGCCTCTGAACGCTTAAATGGAAGAGTGTACAGCAAAACGGCAGGCATGGTGGATTTGCGCGCTGGCGTTGGTAGAAGCTTCTGATAATCATCATCCTTATCGGCCGTATCATGACGTCTTCTCATCTCTTCGTCATGGTCATCGTCATCCTAGTTTTCGTGCTCCCCCTCCTCCTCTTCCTCCTCCTCCTCCTCCCAGTCGTCGTCGTCACTATCATCATCACCATCCTCACCATCACGGTCATCACCGTCATCACCGTCACTTCCACCATCCCCATCTTGTTCACCATCATCGAAACTACTGAAAGCACAACAGCAAGATAGGCATGAATCTTCCGACCTCTCCCTTGCCATCCCATCGGGGCCTCCGGAGACACATCTGCGTTGCCCGCCAGCCAAGGAATGGCTGGGCCAAGGGCGCTGCAGATCATACCGAAGACCATCGTAGAAATAGTGTAGGCCACCTCGCAGTCTCCCGATCTTGTCGCATTTGCTCTCAGATTCCCATCCCAACCCTACGCCTTAAACCCCTCTCAATGAACTCAGGGCCTGGGGCTCAGGTGTAATATTCGTTGCCTCTCAACCCTTCGGTTCTCGATTCCAAGCTGCCCGGCTTCAGAGGTGATTGGTCTGCGAAAGTGTCAGAGCAATGCGGGTTCTGGACTGCTTCAAAACTTGCGCTGTCGGGGATAGGCTTTACCATGAAGAAGAGCCCCGGTTCTTTTCGTGTACTCACCGCTCCCTGACTTACGCTGGAATGCAACATCTTCTACTTCACTATGCCCACCTGTCTTGCCTTGACTGCTCTTACAACTCTCGCTGAAGAGGGAACTTTGCCAAAGTACTTCGTTATGCATGCTGCCCAAAGTCATGACGATGTAGGCTGACTGACAGCTGGTGTGTGAGAAGGGTGTGGATGCTGTGACGGAGGGTTGGGGGGCCTAAACAATCACCAATGCTATTTTGGGGGTTCCTGCTTATGATAATTATGGTATACTGGGCCTCAAAATCCTAACTTGCGGACAAGGTGCAAGCTGGAACCGTTTCTCTCGGTGCGAAATCCGTCCCGTCAGTGACTTCGTCGCCTGCGGGCTGTTTACATGCTGTCACATGCGGCATATCTCAGGGCCTCGCAGCACGCTTTGGGGTCGAAGTCGGGCAAACTTAGCATGGCGCCCGGGCATCTGGACTTCGAGAAGAATGCGTCCGCTGTCGTGGCAGACTCTGTGATTGCTATGGCAATGGTCTTTAGCAGCATAGAGGTGCCCTTTGTCGACAGACGTTTGATTTAGAATGAATTAGATCATGAGTTTCGACGCATGTCTTGCGAGCGTAGCCTTTCCTTCCTTCCGGAAATCAGCCATAATTTAAACGACACCGACCACGTGGTCAGATGAGCATCGCAAATCTCTGCCGGTACTCTTTAATCAGTATCGACACCTCAGGAAACAGACGTGCTGAACCGGTAGCATTGAGCAGATTCTTGAAACTAGCAATTGTGGCTGCCCTTCCCCGTGTCAGCCCGGCCTGATACTGTTCCATGCGCTCTGCCCTCGTCATCGCCATGGTGCAGAGTGCCACAGAAGACCAGGAAGTATGATGAGTGAGCCAAAAACTGCAATTCAGCATGCATGGAGACCCTTAAGGTCCTCCAGGCGGCTTCAACGATGTAAAAACAAAGGAAGTCTGGCCCCTGTTTACGATCTGAGCCTCCGCTGCTTCTTTCAACCATAAAAAAACTTGCAAAACCATTTGCCAAAACCAAAACCAAGCAGAAGCGACCGTAAGGAAAATTGGCGTGCAGGTCAATATAATTCAGTATGTCTAGATACATGGAGCATGATCTGAAGCGCGGGTCTCACGAGTCTACCCCTGGAGCTTTAAACCCTGACGATGCTGAAACTCACATCCACAGCACCTCCAATCCTCAAAGCACTTCAATTCGCCCTCCGGGGCACAAGCGACTAGGGTTTAGGGCTTTGAGTTTAACCTTGAAGCCTAAACCCATCAATGCCCTTGGATCTTGCACGTCTGCTGCCGCCAGAGTTGCAGAGTGAGCCGGAGCTCTGCTTGAGCTTGCGGTCCTCGGATGGGAAGGCAGGTGGTCAGCCCGGGGAACTACAAAAAACGCTCCAGGCTCAGCGTGTCTAAGTCGGGGTTTCAGAGGCTGAAAGCTTTCATTTTAGCCTCCCGCAGCGTTAGCTCTGCAAACCATGTGCTGAGAGCGCACAGGGTTCCTGATCCTAACGACGCGCGCGAAGAGATTTGGGATGTTTCGGATCGGGGACTTAGTGCATCAGCAGAGTCCAAACTACACTAAACCCAGTGAGAAGATTTCCTAATTAACCATGCATGCCTCGCATCGACGACCGAAGCAAAATTGGTTCGAAACTTCTGGCGAGCTTAAAACCCCTTACTCTCTCAGCTATGTTAAGATTGGACATATCGTCATAATGGAGTTTCCGAAAATCGGGGACCCAAATATAGTACCCTATATAGTAGGATCCTTATTATACGGACCCCAAAATAAGGTACCCCTATTTTCGGAAACTCCAAACCCTCATGGAGCCCTTTAAAGGAGCCCTAGTACCCTTATAGGAACCCTTTAAAGGAACCCTAATGCTTCCCAGATTCCACATTTGTGACAACGCTCTCCGCGCGTCCCAGGGAAGGTTGGAAGCTGCTTCGGTATCCTCTGGGAATCATTATGGGAGTTTCGGAAAATGGGGGTACCTTATTTTGGGGTCCCTATAATAAGGATCCTACTATTTCGGGGACTATATTAGGGTCCCGAAACGGGGTCTGGGCATGGAAAGGGGGTTAAGAGAAATAGTAAACGGGGTCCGGGATGACATGGAGAGGGGGCTAAGAGAAACAGTAAGTTTACTAAGGTCCAGCTTTGAGTTCACAATGCGGCATAATATACTAGCCTGGAGCTGTCTGGCTATCATAAATACCGACTGTACTCAGCTGCCAGGTTTTATGTCCGAAGGGCCACAAACCGTGGCTCAGGGACATGCTGCAAACGTCCAGGTGCGGTTTTAGGGCTCAGCGACCCTAAGCCTTAAACCCTAAACCTTAAATCCTGTATAGCAGCAATCAGACATGCAGTGGCAAGGCTGCCCAACTGTCTGAACGAGGCGTCGGCAAAGCCCAAGGACATTGACATAAAGCATAAGAAGCCCTATACTGCTATAGCGCCTCATGTTCAGGATGCACGCATTGCCAGACAACAGCTGCCTGTCGCAATGTGGAACTACAAGCCTTTGCAAAAGCTGCGAACTGCTGTTCGCACGATAACTGGACCCCAGCAAGTCCTGCAAAAGGTTATGGCACCATTTCTGCCTCATTGAATTATTGTCTCCCCGCACCCATCCTGAACCCATGGTCATGCTAAGCACCCAAGTACCCAATGCCCGAACCCGCGGCGGCCCCAAAACCCGGACCGATAAGTCCATGAACATCGACTCTAAAATGACCAGAAGTGTGAAGCCGCTTACCCTTCAAACGAACTTGATAAAAACAAACAAAACCTAAAAGCCTTAGCCAAAGCCAATGCACCTCGAATAGCCTCACAGAATTCCTCGAAGCAGACCTGTCAGAGGTTGATGTAGGGGGTCTTAATAACTAGAATACGGTCGTTCTTCTCGAATTTTGGGTTCAGGGCGGTCGAGATTCCAGCTCTCAGGGTTCTGACTTTACGGCCTGCAGACAGACTTCTCGGACATAAACGAATGCAGGATTCGAGGTACAGGACCTTTGGCTTTGATTCTCGGGATTTTGCAGCAGTTTCACGGCTGTCTACGCGGTGCCCGCGTCCTTCTCTGGCTTTCTGGCTATACCGCTGTGATGGGACTTCCATGCAGGTTGCGAGCGTTTATTCTTAGAAAGTCTCGGAGACAGAGGCGACGTGAAGGTCAACTCTTTCGATGCCTAGAAAGTCTCGGAGACAGAGGCGACGTGAAGGTCAACTCGTTCGATGCTGAAGTCTAAACGGTATAGGGTTTAGTCTTTTTTTGAAATCCTTGTTGCGCCTGCTCGATCCTCCCAAGCTGGGTTCAGGGTTTAGGGTAAACTGCTTAGTCGCGTGCTGCACGGAACAAGCCAACTGTAGATTCATGGCTGCATTCCCATTACCGGGGGCCCAGCTGAGTTGAAAAGCGTTTTGAAGCCTAGGCTCAAGCTTGGGCGATAAACAACACCGCGTACAGAGTCAACAAGGAGTGATCGATTCAGTTGCGCACGGAACCAAAGTAACCATTTGGAACAAATACCTTTGAGAACTTAGGCGTTGTGGACATGGAGAAAGCCAGAGCTTCGGGGCCTGCCGATGTTTAATCATTGGGCTGACAGGCTCCCCTAAATCCTACATCTCTTCATGCGGCATCTCTGCGACGGAGGTTGGACGTGCTTCATCTCTGAAGCTAGCAGGTTTGGACTCATGAAAGCTGCCAGGACTACACCAGATCCTGCCTTGCCGTCGTTGGAGGCATCCTGGGCCCAGGGAGGGACGAGGAAACAGGGGGACAGGCTCAGAAGCCTGAGATCGACAAATGGATAAGATTCAGCCTAACTACTATTTGCTTAAGAACCACCAAAAAATAAAAAATCTATTCCTTATGGGGGTAATATAGGGATTATTATTTTTATTTTTTGGTGGTTTCTTAAGCAAATAGTAGCTAAGGTTGATATCACTAGCTTGTGGGATTTCTAAACAAACTCACATTACTCTCTCGCAACTCGGACTTGCCAGACGAGGTCTCCGGTTCCTTTGACTGGTCGGCACTAGAGGCTGACAATCAGTTCAACAAACTCACATTAGAGTTCTGACTACCTGGCTACCTCCTCACATCTCTGAAGTCGAAGGCCCAGGAAAAACCCAACAGCTGAAATGAAATCAAGCACACCACATCAACACCCGGCCTTGCTAAATCCTGGACACTGCTTCATCCCTGACGTGATGCGGGATTCTGGGTTGGCAGGAAGTATTTATGCAGCATTCGGAATTTCAGATTTAGAATGCTGTATCGCATCCCACAATACTCCTTTCATATTGCCGACGGAGGTTCCAGAACGGTCCAAATCTCTTCAAACGCTGATGCCAGCTCCTGCCGGGAGGGGAGGGGGGATCCCATCAGGCTACGACTCAGAAGAGCAATATACGAGCCTTAATTAAAAAAAAAGGGCTTTTGGGGTACATAATAAAATGCTATACAGGAGCGATAATGGGATGTCATTACTACTGACTCCGACCTCTACACAGCTACCACTGCAGGCAAACTGGATAAGAGTTTGGTTTTCAGGCATGATACCACGCATAACAATGTCAATAATGGCCTCCCCCCGCCGTCACATCAGGTGGGGTATCTACTCTTTGCAGGCCGCGGGAAACCATCCTTTTCGCCCGGCACGGAACCTCCCTCTATCTTCTGCTTTCATCCGGTTTGTTTCAATCTACTGAAAATTTTGGACTGTCTTGGGCCCCACAGTGATTGGATGCTGCTTGTGTTCGGAAGAAATATCTAGATCCAGTTATGGTCATCTCCGGCGAAGATTGTTCTGGACGGGCATTTGGCACTGTGGCTCTCCCTCGGTAGTGTGATGTTGTCAGTAATGGCAATGCTAGCAGTAAGACCAATGAGGAGCAGGTCTAAAGTGCTTGTCAGAGGATTTTGAGGCGTAGGGGCGATCAATGAAACTGACGAGCCCTCTTCAATTCTTGAAAACTTCACCGAATTTCGACACAGCTGGCTGAGCCGTCAGAGTGAGATGTAAACCCCAAAATCCCGACCTCTGAAAACCTCCCAACCTATGAGTGTTGCAGGAGCGTTCTGAGAATGGACCCACTCCCAAACCATTGTCAGGGTGTCCTTATTAATATCGCTCCTATCATTGTTATGGTTACTATACCCGTACTATTATTACCATCGTCATTATCATTCTGTTTCTTTTCGTCACGTGCTCCCTGGGTCCCTGAAGACTTTCGGGGCAGCCCCGGACCACCTTTCAGGATCTGTTCATGCCCTGAGCCTGTAGTATAGGGGCCTTAATAATTAGAATAGGGTTCCCTTTAAAGGGGGTCCTTTAAGGGTTACGATAAGGGATCTATAAGGTGACTATAATCTACAGAGGGGCCTTAATCATTAAAATAGGGTTTTGGGGCCATTATACTGTACCTGTTGTAATAAGGAACCACCAAAATAGAATTGGTAATTATTGAGGCCCCTATAGTAGACCCCCAAAGACACTCGCAATTGTCCAAACGCCCAAATGGGAGTTTCCGAAAACTAGGGGTACCTTATTTTGGGAAAGATGAGGGTCCCCTATTTTCGGAAATTCCCACATCATCCAGGATGTTTCGCCGGGTCCTGCTGTGTGAGAGTGAAGTGATCCACACAGACGGATGCCATCAAGCCCTGCAGAACCTCTTGCCTGCACGGGCAGCGCAGAGCTAGAGATGTTGCGGCAGGGTGGAGCCTACAATCCCGAAGCTTGTGCTACATAGCGGGACAGAAGCGGCCGGTTCTTGTGCCACGCGGCCACACTTTGGCAGCACTTCTTGACGA